GTGCTGGGCAACCTTCAATGCCTTTACACACCAAGTTGTGACGTGGTGTTTGAAGTCCAGTCGCGGGTCTAGGTGTATTCCAAGCCAGCGTATTTGGTCTGCTGGCTCGATAACCACGCCGTTCACACGAATGCCCACTGGCTCCTCGCGTTTCCGTCCGGGAAACTGGACTATCTCCGACTTGTTATTATCGAAGGAGACTGCATTTTTACTTGACCACTCCAGAAGATGATCGACTTCCTTCTGTACAGAAGCGGCCGACTCAGCAATGTTGCGCCCGAACCCTAGGATCCTGACATCGTCTGCGTAGCTGAACCTCATTCCTGGGTTGCCGCTTCGCATAGGCTCTACCATGTATAAAAGGAAGAGAAGTGGCGATATTGGTGATCCCTGCGGAACCCCACAAACCAGCTCTCTCTGCCCGGTTACCCCTCCGGAGTATCGGACTTGTACCTTTCGATGTGCAAGAAATGAAGCCGTCCATCGAAGAATCGAGTCTGGCCACCCCTGCTCTTGCATCCTCCTCACCAAACGGTTGTGGAGTACTGCATCGAATGCGCCTTGGACATCGAGAGTCGTGAATGTGGCCGCCCATCCCTGGGTGCTTGCCTCTTCGATGTCGTGGACTACGCAGTTGACAAGGTCGTTTGCCGACCTCTTAGGGAGCGCTCCGAATTGTTGATATCGGACAACGTCGAGCGTTACTGCGAGATAGGGCATTTTCATGGATAAACGTGGCGGAAACTAGGATGGTGTCTCATGGGGAGTTCCATTCTAAAACACAACTCGGGGTTAGATCAAGTTCTCAAACAATTAGGACAGGCTCAGGAACATAGGGTCGTTTCATAGGGATTGCGTAGTAATACTGTTCGAGACAGAGCTTAGGGCTGTCCTATTATCTGATGTACATATATACCCAGCGTGAAGGAGTATTCTTCTTCACGCAACGTCTTCTGTTTATACTCATACCTATTGTTCACTTACTTATCTCTTCTCTAAAGAGGACCGCCGTTATTGTACCCTTCTCACCTACTACTTATTTTACCTTTACTTCTTACGTGAACCCTATACCTAACGCTGAATTTATACCTCCTACTCTTAGGAATCACCACCATACTCCACACCTGTAACCTACTTGTACCAAATTCGTACCCTACGGAATACTAGTAACACTGCTCCTTGAGAGCCATCCGCTTCGCCAAGAGTCGTTCCAGTCCCTTACCCAAGCATGACAGAAGTGCGATCGGTCTCCAGCCCTTGACAGTCGTTGGATCTCGGTTCGTCTTACGTAGGAGCACCACTTCAGCCAGCTTGAAGCAGGATGGGTGGGTGCCCAGTCTGATGCAAGCGCGGAAGAGAGTGCCGACAAATGGTCCAATCGTCTTCCAACATGTTCGCAGAAGCTCGACAGAGATCCCGTCTGCTCCAGGCGCTGTGTTGGCGCAGCCTACGGTGCACATGCGAATCTCTTCGTCCGAGACATAGTCGTTCCAGGGGATTCGGTCGGTACTCGGCGCATCGAGTGGCGGTAGGTCGTCCGTCGCTTGGTGTCGTGCCAAAAGAGCATCCCGGAGTACCGCTGCTCGCTCGGCCGGATCGGAGTACACCTTCCCTTCGTGGTTAAGTGGAGGGGGGGTGCTTGCCTGCCTTGGTTCGGCCGAGCGCATCAGCTTGAACACATCAGTTGGTGTCGTGATCGCTTCGACTTGACGCGTCTAGTACTCTTTCCTTGCCGCTCTGAGGGTTGAGCGCAGCTTCTTCGAATGTATCCATCGCTGTTCCGGAGTCACTGCTGCACGATATTCCGTGTGAGCCAGCTTGCATTCCGGAGTCCACCAAGGCGCACATTTGCCGTGTCTTTTGTTCCTTCGTGTTCCTGCTACTTTGAAAGCGTTAGTAAGGCCGGAACAGAGATTGTTGGCGTATTCATCCACCTGGCAAACCGAGTCCAACACTGGTGGCGGGTGAGTGAATTGCGCCACGGCAAGGGAGAACCTCGGAAAGTTTCCGCGCGTTACCCTAATCGGCGATGGCTCATGGTCCCATTTTCCGCATCCGGTGGGGACTTGTCCTCGAATTGGAAGATGGTCGCTGGTTATACACTCGCTGCGACCCACCCATGCTTGGGCCCCGTTGATGTTGGTCCAGGCAAGATCCAGCGTGTTTCCGGCTCAATGCGTTGGCTCGCCCACAATCAGACAAGTGAGATTATGGCGTTCCGCCCATCTCTCAATTTCGATTCCTTGTCCGCGTGGGCGGGCAGCATCTGGTTGCCATGCGCGGTGCACCGCGTTGAAATTGCCAGCCGCGACGGATCGTGGTGGTGGGTCCCAGCTGAGGAGTGGTCGAATGGCCGTCGGGTCGTTCGGGTCCTTGTACAGGTTGAGAAACTTGACTCCGTTTACCACAACCCAGCAGTAATCCACCGTCGGGGGATGGCAGAGAAAGATTTGTCTTGCCGAAAGGTTCCCTGTATTGATTCGTGTATAAGTCACAGCCCTGGGTCGAATGTTTACGCCGCCATGTGGTATATGACAGTCGTATCCAGGGTGTGACTTTGTTTCCTTTGTGGCTTTTTTCCACGAAGGTTCTTGTATTAACACTACATCGACGCCTAGCTCGTAAGCTCGGGAAAACGCGATGTCGTGTGATGAGCCTCCTCTACCTACGTTGATCGACATAAAACTTATCGTAGGTGGGAGGCTGGAAGGGACCCGTGAGGGGCCCTTCAGGAAGACTCAACAGGATTCGTCGTTCCTATGGCCGTGGCGTCGGGGGCGACGTCGGTCATCAGAACTTCGAAACTGTTGTTTGATTTCATCACTTCGGGTGAGGCTTGCTTTTGCTTGGTAGCCGCTTGTACTGCTGCCTCAGCGCGACAGGCTGCAGCTTTAGCCCTCATCACGGCCGCTAGCTCGCGTTGGCTCGCGATGCGAATATTGGCCAGTTGCTCTTTGCTAACGGGTCCGGCCTTAGTTGGGCGCGCTAGGCAGGTTCGACTGTCGGACCTGTGCGGTCCTCCGCAGTTGCGGCACTTGGTGTGAGCACGGCACTCGTCTGTCGAGTGCATCGTGGAGGTGCAGTTCCCACAGGCTTGAGCGCGAGAGCAACCGCGCGTTCCATGGAACTGCAGGCAGCGTTTGCATTGCTGCATAGTCTGTCGCGACTTGTGTGGGACCGCGACGCCTGAGTCGTCGAACAAGCGGAATCCTTGTCTTGGTGCTGCTCCCTTCCTGAAATGGGCAAGCCATGACTGATATGGAGCGTCAAGGCGAGTTTTCCCGTGGGGCCGTACCTTGACTGGCACGGCCTTTGTGACTCGCGTGATCTCCTCGATCACCATCTCCTCCGTCACATGCACCTTTCCGAGGAGGGTGTGGATGGCGACAGGGACCGTCGAGATCCGGAGCGCGACAAGGTCCGAGGCCTCCTCTAGCCTTACCTCGATTGGGAGGAAAGATTCCGCCGCGCTCAATAGGAGCTTGCGAGATTCCAGGTTCTTCGCTCTGAGTGCGAAGCCAGTTGGGACACGGTAGACGTGTTCAATTGCTGCCCGAGGCGCGTTGGTCAGCTGCGCCACCGCTTCTCTGATGCCAGCTGGCGAAAGATTTCGCCACTGATGTTTTGATTTTAGCCGGAGGAACAGTCGGTTGTCCGGCGAGGACGAAGGAGCCGTCTTGGCCGATTTTTTGGTCGGCGGGGTCGGCTTTTTCGGGGCACCACATGCTATCACTGGCTTCGGGTGATTTGGTAACTGATTTTCGGCTACAGTTGCCCAAGTTGGAGTTATCTGGGGGACCGCGACGGCAGGCTTTGCCGGCCTGACGGTCGACGGTGAGAGTGTCCCGCTGCTGCTGACCTGCTGGCCAATGGGGCGGGGAGGGAGGCTTGTCGGCACTGGAACCACACCAGTGCGCAGGAAGTGGGCGAGGGCGCCCCTCAGACACACGTTCATCGCGTCCGAGTATTCTTTGTTATCTGTCGTTTTCATGGACAGGATAACACTTTCCAATGTTTGTAGCACCGTTGACCCTATCTCGAGCCTGGCTGAGGTGTTTGCAGCCCGCTTTCTTTCGGCTTCGAGTAAAGCCTCTATTTCCGGCGGGTGAATTGGCGTGGTGCCGGTGGGAGCACCACCAGCAGGTTGGTTATCGCGCACAGTCATCCCGGGAATCGAGGCCGGGGCCGGCGGAAGTTGTGAGGCATTTGCTGCCTTTGCGTTATGGGAGTCTTCCGTTCCCCTCGGTGTGCTCGCGGTTGGTGTCCGTTTTGCTATCGGAACCGCGATTTTTCGTGCCGCAACGCGTGCGGATTCTGGCATTGCTTTCGCCGAGACTACTTTCTCGACGGCAATTTTTGGTGCTGTTGACGCCTTCTGGGAGCTCTCTGCTCCTGCAGTTGCCCAACGCGAGTCATTTTGGGCCCTTTCTGATCCAAGCATCAATTATGGGAGTGGCATCCTCCATCTCAATGTCGGTTTTGCCGCTTTCTTCCATCTGCGCGATTATGTCGGCTTCTATCCCTTCGAGATCGATGTCGTTCTGCGTCAGTCCCTTTGTTGTCGCTTTTTGCATTGCGATGCTTTTTGCTTTTTTCAGCATTTGCGTCTGTGATTCCACTCGCGTCTGGTGGTTGTGCTTTACTACTTTAGTGGTTAACACAATTTTCGCGGGTTTCGCGGATTTTGGGGGTACCGGTGCCATTTCAAGGCTGAGTGGCGCGGTACCACGAGAAATTGATGTTTCGAAGTTTGGAGGGTGATTTAAGGGGAGGAAAATGGGAAAATGGGAAAAAGGGAATTTTCGAATTTTCGAATTTCTCGAATTGCTCGTTTGTATGTTTTTCTATTTTTCGTCCGTCAGGGCGCCAAGCTTAACATAGGTCCCTACTACTCACTAAACTACCTAAAGGCATAGACTCCAGTGCTTACTGCCCTGGTGGTCTTGCCCTTGCTACTTTTTACCTAGGTTTGCAGGGCAATTCTCCAATTCTCTAATTACATGATTGCGTTTAGCGTAGTACCTACACTTTTACAGCCAGTCCTCAAGGCTCATTACTTCTTTGATGTATTGAAGCCACTCTCGGGATGCTACTTAAAGATCCATTCAGAAATACCGCACCATCCATCCATAATGAAAGGCTCAAAGTTGAGGCAGAGTCGACTACCTCGTTGTCTCATATCACAACATAATCGAAACTTCGTGCGCGGGAAAAAGTCACAAAGAGCCTGCAGCCCGAGCCAGGCGATGCCTAGACACCGGGACCACATGAGGTGCGCATATTCATCTATATCTCCCTTCTTTGTAACAGTCGTGACCGACTTGATCCAATCCGCAATCTCCGTATCGGGTGCTGGGTACGCCCCGGAAACTCATCGGATGGCTTTTCCTCCATGATCAAGGGTTGGTGATGAGAAGGGCTCCGACCCTACCATCTGATCTGATCGTGGTTAGCTTCATAATAATGGTGATAAGGGAATGTGCTTAGGGATGAAGACAATATAGACGGCGTAAGCGATTGGGAATCCTCATCGAAGTGAGGACTTTGTTACTCAATCTCGGCTCTGCAGACTCTAAAGTGAGAGCTAGAAGTTCGTAGGGGACACCACTGATAGGTGTTGAGAAAAGTCCCCCTCAAGAACGGCGGAAATATGGAACGAAAAACCAACAATGGCACCAACCATCCCCGTGATAGCACCACCATCGAGGCCAACTCTTCGAACACTTCGACGACCGATGCCGAATGAGTAGGTGCCTTCTCTTTTTAATTTTTCATAACGTTAGTCTGATTGAAGGGGGAGTTAACGAATTTGTGAGAAAGTTTATAAAATTGTAGTTGAAAGGAACGTCCTCAGCATTAAGCCGGGTCGGTTCAGAGGGGCAGCACATCGGGTTTTGTTTGTTGAAAGCTTTTTCCCTTACAAAAGCGGCTTATCGTCTACATGGTTCTGTATATAGCAGCCAAATAGGACGTTAACTAGAGAAATTCAATTCATTCAACGGTGACAGAAACGATAATAGAAAATAGATATACAACAAATTCCTGAGTTATAGAATAAATAAATTATTCATTACTCTGATTTGGCGCCTTGAGGCCCATGCAGGTTTTATCGGAAGATACGTACTTTAAATATGGATTACACAATTTGACGTTTAGAACACTCACACTCAGGTTTTATTTGCAGATACCACTCGAGGTTATCCCTTACATCATACAACCTCTTCCGTGCAATCCCACCACAGAGAAAAGCGTGAAAACCTTGTGGCTATCCGAGTGTACCTTCATCATCCCACAAGTACAATATCACTGCGAGAAAGAGTGGTGTGTAGGTCTTCCTGGATTCGAACCGGCTTTATCCTGTCTTAAATACGATGGGTGTTCAAGCTACTCAGTATCTACTTAGGAGAATGGTCCGAACGGTATACCACTGCACCACCCATCCCAACTCCAGAACAAAAGTGCCCAGTACTGTAACCCTATCTTCCACTACATAGCATCTCGAGCTGGAGCCTGCAAATACTTATTCTTCACCTTCCAGTGGTGCCGGTGCAATCGCTCAGTATGCTTTAAATATCTGGGATAGCCATGAAGAATCGCATCCAAGTCGAATTCGAAATCAAAGACATGCATATCATCATTTGATGACTTCTCCACGATACCGCTCTGACTATTCTCATCTGAGTTCTCAACCTCTTTCTAACCACATATCATGTCGCCTTAAAGACCGATAAAGGAGTAGCTCTAATTGCGAAGGGGAGCTTGCCCCATTAATTACCAGCCATCTCTCATTACAAATTCACGACGCTTTTGATACCCACAAGAACGACGTAAAGTACCACATGCAAAGCCTGGGTCTTGTCTTATGGGGGACTATTTGTTATAGTTACAAGGTCAGATATATTAGTATTGTGGTAGAACAGTATATTTACAAAGAAGAATGTCGAATAAATATCCTGGTGGCGAGCGTGTGTATTTAGACTATTTGAGGATAAAATAGATATCTAAAGATAAACGCATGATCTATATGAGAAGTAAATAGAACTGGGTATATACATGTCCAATTTTCTCTATAGCTATGCCCGCTGGTTGTTTGATTTACTCATGTTATGTGTATCGACATTTTTTAATCTTTTTTTTTGCTTCAGATTTTAATTGCGTTTGCAGCTATCTAGCTATGACACGATATCAAGGAAGTGTAAAAAAAATGATTCATCGTAAGTGAAGAGCACTCATGCCTCAGATTTCATTTGCAAGTACCACTGCAAAGTTATGGCGGCTTTTTCTTCACCCCAAGTCAACCCTCATTCGTGTATACCCACCCAGGGGAACGTCTCAAAAACCCTGAGTTACCCAGACATGCCTCCGTCATCCATTATCTTTCCTCCGCGCGAAATGTGATCTGAGGTGTCTCCTTCCAAAGCGAAGTAGATGCCCAGGCTACTCAGACTATACCGGAGAACACCACCAGGAGGCGGACCACGGAACCTTCTATCGTCTGCTTACTTTTGTAGTGTCAGCTGCACTCTCGCAAGCGAAGTCTTGGCGCGCACAAAGCTCAATTTGTAAAAACTCCCTGCGAAAATCCCAATTTCATTCCCGTCGAGATAGTATTCATCCTTCGCATCATCTTACAAACTTGTCCGGATGTCTCTCAAGTCTATCACACAAAACTTCCAGATTTGTGCGCAACGCTTTCCTTCCTCCATCGGGTATAAATATCGGGGTGGGCGTGCATTTGGTGATCAGCTGAGGCCAGAGAAGGTCGAAGAGAGGTGTGCTCATTGGAATGAGGATGTACTAGGTCGTTCTTATAAACTTGATGAAACGAAGATAGGAACCGAACTCGTTGTGAGTGAAAATTTGACGTGGTAGAGTAATTTGAATCATTGCCTCGTGGGCCAACGTCTTTAGTATTGCAAAATTTGACTGAACTTGGCTGTGGGAGAATATTTCACTCCCAGGTTCGTAGAGGACAACGCGTACAGGTGTTCAGTCTTTATCCTAATTTGTACGGTCTTTAACTGGGGTGGCAGCCCTGTGTGAGCAAAAGCCCCTTAGTAGCATTTCCATATGAAATGTAGAATACTAGTGTCTCTAAGGTCAAAAGAGTTATCGAATTCGTTCAATTAGCAAGGACCATATTTCATTTGCAGGAAACTGAAAACACTGAAATGACATTAAAAATAAATTGATGCAAGTGCATAAGTATCATTTCACCAAACAGGCTTGCTTTATGGCTGAGGAATGGATGAGATATCTCGTCATCAAAAGAATGGCATTTTATGTGCAATGTTCGACTTCCCGCTGAAGGTACCTTGGCGCTTTTAGATCAGCTTTGTGCACAATTACAAGTTCGGCTGCACTAGGAGACCGTGTGGCACAACTTTCAAGATTTTTGGTTTATTGTTTACCCTTAATACCAGTCTACATTCACTGGTGCGCACCAGAGTCTTGACAATGAAACATTCAAACTAATTGTTGAACAAAGTTAATTTATTTCATTAGGTCTGAATATTTTATTTGTGAGATGTAAGCAGCGCCTCGTCCTTCAAAGTAGCAGGATACTGTTATAACTTAAATCCGAAATAACACTATTGCATAACTCCATTGTTTGAGGCCTCAAGATATTTTATACTTCAGATTTTATTCAATTTTAGAGGATTCTTTGTCGCTGGATTCCACGCATTTATTTTTCCTTGCTTTGTCTGCATCGTCGATCATTGGGATACTACTAGCAAGCATTTGTTGGAAAGGAAGAGCAACGAAATGACCAGCCTTATCGAACCATTTGTTAAAAGGCTTTTTCAAGTTTGTTACTTTGGGCTTCTCTCCAGGACAAGATTTTAATTTGGTAGTGATGCGTAGATTGTAAATCGGGACACATTCCTCCACTTTTGTTTCGATTCTGATTTCATCGTCTTGTGCATTGGTCCCGATATAGATTGTGCCCTTTTCAACGTACGTCGAATACAAAGACAAAATGATGCTTAGAGTAGCATACAATCCAACAGCGAAGGCGGTGTAAAGCTTAGTGGACTCGAAGCCAAACTTGTAGTCCCAAGAAAAAGTTGCTGCAGCGATTAAAAGAGAGGCATATCCAATTACTAAACGAATGTCTGCAACAGTATGAGATTGTTTGAACTTCAACGAATTAAGGTAGGCAGGAATTGCATCGTCGGAGGTGTTTTTGAGCTCTTAATGTGAGTATTAGCGTTGATTCTGCACTTTTTGTCACATAAAATTTGAGATTTGGCGAAAAAGGTAAGATCAACTTACCTGTCACAGAGTATAAAGAAATTTTTTCCGTAGATACAGCCATAATTTTTGTAATTGATACACAATGAAGGCCGATATTTTACAGAAGGTTTGAAGTTGTTAAGATTACACAGGTCTCAAAATTTGTGGGTTGTATCGTGCAGAGATATGAACAGGTATCCAGATTCGATCCATGGGGCTCGTGAGCCCAGATATGCCTTGCAGAGGATGCTATGATTCAGCTCCTTTAGCATTCCTACAAATACCACGCTAGCCTATCTTCCAATTACCTTGCGCAACACCCACAAATGTGAAATGCAATCCCACTTAAATTACTCCATTCATGGTGTTTGTCAAGGAAGCGCTAGCCATGCTACAATCAGTGCATGAGCCCTTGTTGGGGTCCATCGTATCTCAGGATGCCGCATATGTTGGTCATAGTTTGGAATATATCTTAAAGCAGTTTCATCAGCTACTAAGTAGCTGGATGGTTAACCGGCGTAGATAAGCTTCGCTGGAGATTGCTTCAGACGCCTTGTTATAAAGAAATCTGAATAACATGTAAAATGGAGATAAGTACATCACCGGACTCTTGGGGGGTTAGCAAGAAACAAGTGTAGCTGCTATTAATGAGGTTCCTTCTAGAAGAATCGTAGGATATATTTGTAAACATAGGGCGCTATGTGATTGTAGAATTAGCCCATGCTAGACTAATAGCGCAGAAAATAAGCATAGAATAGAGAGCCTCCAATGAAAATTTTACAGTCCTCCTTGTAAAAATATCTCTGTAGTTTACAACACATTGAGCTCCTGTGCTCATGCGCAATACCGCCAGTATGCAAATAAATATGGCTTTTGTTGGTCTGGAAGCCCCAGAATTTTAGGGTGTCGTCCGCCGCGCCAGTCTCGTCTAAACATAGGTCGCCGTTTGGCCAGACTGCAGCTTTTGTTGTAAATAACAGTTACAGGCCAACCCGTCGGCGAGCGCCTCTAAAAAATAACCATGGCACAAGCTCTTGTACAGGTCATCCATAGGGATCCTCAACTTTTGTAAGAATAACGCACTGGAAAATGAAAGCGATACTGACGAGTCAAAAGTTACTGGATTTTAATCCCTATCACTGTCGTCATGGTAGATTACTTAACAAAACCCTTAAAAGAAAAGGCCTACGCTCAATCTACCTAGATACTGACTGGAGTTTTACGTCATTATTTCACCATTCTCATGTCAAATACGCCAAAGAAATCAGACCTTCTATCTATACGTGAACAACGATCACTTCTCCGGGGTATAAATCTTCGTAACAATGGAAATGTCATCTCACCAGCATCTTTCCAAGCTCGTCGAGATTATTTAGTAAATGCATATCAAAGTGGCACCTTTCTCAAGGAGCCAGAAAAAAAGGGACAGGCAACCCCCAATCCTATGACAGATCCAGCTGCCATGGAAGGTATGATGGGTATGATGAAAGGAAACATGGCCATGATTGTGCCGCAGACTCTTATCATGGGATGGATCAATGCATTTTTCAGTGGCTTTGTCATTAGTGAGTGATATTAACACAAATATAGACTGGTGTTAATAGAGATAGTCCGATTACCATTTTTCTTGACGATCAAGTTCAAGAGCATGCTGCAAGCAGGTGTTGCCACCAGGGATATGGATCCTCAGTGGATGTCATCTATCTCTTGGTATGTGCTTTGCATATTCGGTCTTCAGTCTGTATTTAATTACATTTTGGGTAGTGACAATGGTAAGATATTTCTCTTGATACAATTACTTGTTGATAACAATCCTAGCTGCGAGCCAAGTATCGCAACAAATGGTTCAGATGGGCCCGGGCGCAGGTGCCGACCTCTTTGGTCCAGGAGTAGATCCAGACAAGCAATTCCAAAATGAGGCAGAGAATCTTGCTGTATTAGCCCATCAGTATACTCTAGATGGCGTTGAAGACCGACTTCTTGAGTACGTAAAAGCGTAAATAATTTAGGTTCAGTAAATAGATACCACAAATTTGGTTTAAAGATGCTTTGCTTTGTTCAATTTATGTTTTATTCACATCAAAGTCATGAATGTGAATCATGTGGATCATTCTGTCCAGTAAAAAATCCTCGATGTAGTGGTAATTAACTGATTTTGTCAGGGAAATAGATCTTGTATTTTGTATCAGATTTTAATCGCGTACGCAGCTATCTAGCTATGACTTGGAAGCAATTATACAGGCACTGGAATTTTCTAGTGCGAGGTATAATCCAGGACATCATTTTGAAATATTTTCTGATAACCAGGCAGCACTTCATAGGCTTGCATCTCTTACAGACTATCCTGGACAGTCCTGCCAGATAAGAGCTTTGAGTGCAGCAAACATAATTTCAGATATAAATGGTTTAGTTTCATTACACTCGATTCCTGGACATTTAGATATCATAGGTAATGGAATAGCAGACAAATTAGCAAAGGAAGGATCAAGATTGTCTCTTGGAAAAGACGAAATGAGCTTTGCCAAGAATGGAGCTCAGATGAAAAGCAATATTAGAAACCAATGGCTTGAATTTCTCTGTAGCAAGGATAGATAATTACATCCAATATCATCATCCTACAAGAAAAAATACCCATGGAAATTAAATAACAAAATTCTGGTACCATCTGAAGCAAAAAGGGCTGTATCTACTGCTTTCTTTCAACTAGAGCTAGGCCATGGATACAACAAAGCATACCTTTACAAATAGGGACATAGCACCAATGACAAGTGTAGATGTTGGAATCGAGAAACACCAGAACATCTTCTACTCAGTTGCAGCAATTACAAGCATAAGAGGAAAGAACTCAAAGAGAGGTTGAACCACAATAACCTTACATCGAAGTTAGTCCTCCATACAAAAATAGGAATAGAAAAATCTATTGAATACATTGACAGCACTTGAATCTCAACCATTGCGTGGCATCTAGATAGAAGGGATGAAAATTTAGAACGAGAATAAGACACTTGGTAACTGGAACAAAAAATTTAATAGATGAAGTGTATAGGAATTTTAAATACAGAATATAAAAGATTAAAAACAATATATATATATATATACTGTTGGAATTACTACGGTGTGGTTTCACGATCGATCGTAATGATTCAGTAAAGAGTTGTACGATTCTGTGTTGGTCTAAGATGTTCATAATTGTCTTGTCTACGCTATACAGGATTCACAGCTTTACTGTGGATTCTGACTAGCACATCTGTGCTGAGGTCATCATGTGATTCCCACATGATGACAAATCAACTTTTACGTTTTAGATAAACCGACATATACATTATTAAAAAGGGAAATATAATTATATCCCTATCTATATCATAGGGCTTAAACCTCACTGTCCATGAGAACATAGTTAAAAATTGTAAAATTGGAAAGGAAAAAATGTAGCTACTATCATATATATATATATATATATATATATATATATATAGATTCTAGGAGTCCTCTATATTCATAGACTTGTTGAGACTTAAAATATACATTATGATTACGGGGTAAATAATTTATGGGTCACATATTTACCTGACTGTTAGTGGTCACCAGCTGGGCAGGAAGTCTGCATGACATGTTGTGTTATGGAAGACCAAGGTCACGTGATGATGGCCTTCGGAGATTAAACAGGAGGCTGGAAGACAGATCACTCGTTCCGTTCAGGACACGAGTAGAAGATATTAGTATTGGTTCTACAGAGCTGGATCACTCGTGGACTATGAATGGTGTATATTTGACTGGATATGTGTATTGTAATTTTGTTAAGTCTTAAAAAGTATAACAATGGTTATTTTATTCCAACAAGACTCAGATGGGACTATAATATAAATCTAATCTAATCTAGCTATGACACAATATCAAAGAAAAGTACATAATAGATGAATGACACAGGGTCACTCTCAGGGATTCCAACGACTAGTTTCGAACAGTCGGGTCTTGTGTGTCACAAGCCATGATACGAAAGGTTTGTTGTAGATATTAGTTTTCATGAGGAACCCTTGGATTGTAGACAATGGGGGACATGAGTTTTCGTTGTGACAACCTTGTTTGAACAGTTAGCTTGAACAATTCCGGCTTGCAGAAGAAGTTGAGACAGCAGTCAGTGAAATGGTTACGCGATCGGGAAAAGGATAAGACGATACCAACACTGTATGTACAGTGTAGACACACTTCCCGTAGGAAACCTCGGAAAATCAATAGACACGAGCAGACAGGTTTGGAGGTTTTCACCGAATTTGATTCCTACCTTGTAAAAATTATAGCTAGATATTCCTGAACGGGCTAAATGGAATCAAATTGTGAGCGGATGCATATTTAAGTATAGTCAGCTCTAGTTATGCAGTCATGTAATATATAAGGACAGGGAGTTATGCAGGCATACATGGTGATCCGTGCGTACATACACATAAGAAGGGCGGTCTTTCTGGTTGAATATTGTGATGGAAACCGAGTTGGTGATGAATAAATCGATTTATTAAACTAAATGAAGAGAAAAGAAATCTCTAGCTACTACTTAAAGGTACTTATAACGTTTGGTCCGCTTCGTGAATCTGCTGACTGATAACTTCTCCCTAGGCCTAATACTTGCTACCGAGCCAAGTATTATCAGGAGCCATTACGCTATGAATTGCTTCGACCTCCTGGCTAGTAGTGCCATTTTATCTCTATTTGCCCATCCTTCCTCTTTCAGTCTTATCGTAATTATTCCTAGTTAAACGCTTAGGTTTCCTCCTTAGATAAAACAACGGTCAAACCGTAACAAACATAGACAGAATCGTGGTGATTTAGTTGTAATACAAGATTGAGCCAATAACGTTTACACAAATCAAGTTAATCACGAATTAGAGTGTGGAGGGGAAAGACTGAACACCTGTACGCGGTATCCACTACGAACCTGAGAGTGACATATTCTCCAAACGCCAAGTTCAGTCAAATTTTGCAATACCAAAGAAGTTGACCTACGAGGCAATGATTCGAAATACTCTACATTTTAAAATTTTCCTTCTCACCATCGATTCTTGGGAACGGCCCTCACTGTCTATGAGAACACAAGTTGAATTGATTAGTATAAATACTCTAATTTAGCTAGACTCTATTATATAGATTCTAGAAGCCCTCTACAGTCATAGACTCAGATAGGACTATACAATAAATCTAATATAATCCAATCTAATCACTATCGACTCCTACCGAAGCCTCATCAAGTCTACAAATACGACTAAGTCCATCCTCATTTCAATGATAGCACCTCTCATAGACTACTCTACCGCCTCAGCTCGTCACTACACAGACGCCCACGACAATACGGATACTTGTAGGAGGACAAAAATCGTGGTGCACAAATCTGGAAATTTTGTGGGATGGACTTGAGAGATATCAGGACCAGTTTACGAGATGATACAGAGGATGAATGCTAGCTCGACGGGAATGAAATTGGGATTTTCGCAGGGAGTTTTACAAATTGTGCTTCGTGCGCGCCGATACTTCGGTTGCGAGAGTGCAGCTGACACTATGAACGCAAGGCAACGATGGAAGGTGCCGTGGTCCGCCTCCTGGTGGTGTTCTCTTGTATGGTTCGAGTAGCCTGGGCACCTACTCCACTTAGGAAGGAGACACCTCAGATCAAATTTCGCGCAGAGCAAAGATAATGGATGATAGAGGCATGTCTGGATAACTCAGGGTTTTTGAGACGTTCCACTGGGTAGGTATACACGAATGAGGGTTGACTTGACGTGAAGAAAAAGCCACCATTACTTCGAGGTGATAATTGCAAATGAAGTCCGAAGCATGCGTGCTCTTCCTTCATATTGAATCATCTGCCATTTACCTTTAGTTGATATTATATCATAGCTAGATAGCTGCATACGCGGTTAATATCTGATACAGAAAAAACCGTTCCTTGGTCATTTAACCAAATTCCTACTAGCTCTAATTTTCATATACAGGTTTAGATCAAATTTCACATGATACTTGAAAGTTACATATATCTCCTTAATTACAGTATATGTATTTGTTGTACTAATGAGTTTATAACTATGTAAAGACATGTAGGTTCTTTTTGCCCACAGGCCGGGAGTAGCTATGCCTCGGGTAGCGAACTCCCTCTTTTGCCTCCCTCACGACTTCTTTCCAGCAGTGATATTCCCACAGCTCTTCATTCGAGTACAAACTAAGAGGTGCCGTTATCCCATCACTACCTCCTCTCTCCAGCCAACGAAACGATGGCCATTTGTGGGTGTGTAGCTGCTGGGAAAAGTCTCAAAAATCACTGCGGGGCTCTCCTATGAAGAAGAGACCGGCCAGCCGGGCGCAGCAGACCTGTGTATACCTAAGAGCGTCTCTCAACCTTCCCAGCCTCATCCTTACTCCTCCCATGATTCATGCTATAGGACAAACCGAAGGTCGTGAAGGAATTACAGAAAAGTTTTGGTCGAGAGTGATTGTCATGAAGGAGCCTAGCCTAGAATCCAACAGTCGTTATGGACGTGGGGTTATCGAGTAACTCGTGTATTTCAGGTGCCCTCCTAGCTAGGAGATCTAGTATGAGAGGTTAGTAGGGATGATCTTATCGAAGAGTCGAGATCTGCTTTTCTTGAGGGCGGAAGGGTCTTTTACTTTACTTCGTGGGCTTTTTGTTTGCCCGCCGTTGGGTAGCACATGTTGTAATATGACGAGGGCTTCTCTGACTACCGTTGTAGCGTTTGATAGCGCATTATCTTTCATCATTCCCAGCATCAATATCATCATCTTATTCTTCTTAGTCGTCTTGTGTGTTATTGGAAGCGTATTTTTGACGGAGAGGGAGATAACTCTGTTCAAATTTGAAAAGTTATTAATCAATCTCGGATCTGCAGACTCTACAGTTGAAGCTGGAGGTTCTTAGGGGACACCACTGACAGGTGTTGAGAAAAGTGCCCCTCCTCAATTACAGTGTTCGCATGACTAGCCGTCTTAAATGCGTCTCTTCCTTTGACAGTTGTATATTTGCGAGACACGCGATTAGTCACGACCTGATACGACATTACCCTGTAATAATTGTTGACATGGAGCCTCTCCGGGTGTCTTAGAGCAAGCGTCAGATATTCCTGAGGACCGAAGCAGTAGTCTGGAATATACCTATACTTCCTTACGCTTAACTTGTCGTAGTATGACCGAACAAAATGTTATCTAGATGAGTCGAAACCTTGATGTAGCGAAGGGTAGTACAACGGCAGTTCAGTGTGACGTGTTTTATGATTTCTAGACTGATACTTTTCTACAGAATAAAGAAGAAATTTTTACCAGGACAAAAGCATGCTCTTATTTAGATATAACTCTCCCCGCCCACCTAACTGCCAGCCCTAACTCCGGGGAATTTGTAATCTTGGACTAAAAACTCCAATTTAATGACAGACACTGGCTATCGTAATAATATCGAGGACTTTTTTTTGGAACTCTAACGTCAGGTTAAACTAATTACTAGTTATGTTAGGTATTGGAGTTTGAAATTTTAGTTCTCACCTGATCAAACTTCAAATTTGTAGTCTATAAAAATAGCTCGTAAAAGGACGAGACTTTTAGCTCCGCTTTACTTTTTTTCCTCCATCATGGGGGATTTTTTCTTCCTCATCTTGCGCGTCTAAGGTGTTGACATCTCTACTTCTTTTCAAGCCTTTCATCTTGCGCGTCTGTAGTTCTGTGAGGTCTTGTTTCCCGAGGTGTATCCTGCCCATTTTATCACCAACAACATCCGTAGAAATATTCTTTTTTGGACGCTCTTCACTCGTTCGAGCCTTTTTTAAGGCTTCCTTCATAATGCTCTCATCTGCTTCCTTTACTCGTCTTATACTGAAGTCCATTCGTGGTCCCATTTCTTCAACTTCGACTCTTGGGAATTTTTGCCCGCTTCTTTTGGTCTGCACTAGATAGGTCCTAAAGTGAACAGTTGGCTTCAAACTTTCGCCTTCGACTTGATCTTCAGCACTGACGCAAATGATGTACTGTAGTCCCTCAACATCCACCTTGTCGGATGGCTGGCCTTTGAATAAGTCTATAAACATGCTCTTAAGTAATGTGTATTCATCTGAGACAGGGTTCTCGAAGGGTGTTCCCGCAAAGAGTAACATTGGCGTTAACCCGACCGCGCATTTTTTGCTCTTAAACTGGCTTAACTTCAAGAATTCCTTTGCGTTGAGGCCAAGCTCTATCATGTCCAGTACCTTGTAGGAGAACGTACGTACAAGCGTTATGTTGTGAGGTCGTCTTTTACTCGTACTCCCAAAGAGTAGAAGTGATGCATCATTTTTCTCGGAAAAAAATTCTAATGAGCTCGGGTCGTCAAATGGATGTATTTCATTTTTTTTGGTGAACTTCTTAGCTAGAGGAATTTTCAACTGGTACAAGTCCGTCAATGCGTTCTTTACTTCTTCGGAACATTTCGTGCCCCTAAGAAAAAGCGTTTTCTTGGGGTTTTCCACAGGCTTTGGCGCCTTTTTTTCCACTGCTCTCTTCGAACGTGGATTCCGTGGTTTTCTAGGTAGGTTAGCAGTTAAAGGTTTTGAATGACAGATTGGGCTCGCATTTGCTTCAACATAGTAGCTTATCTCGGTTACTATGTTTTAATATGCCTTCTGTACTATGCTATTCCAATATACAGCAGCGCCCAAAAACAAGTTGAAAAAGAATTATTGAATTTGCGATTGCTAATAAGATTGATTGATTGAACTAAGACTTAGTTGTTGAATAATATTCGAAAATTGCGCTGAATTCGCATACACAGGCAAGTGCAATAATTTTTTTTTGGAGCACGCTTAGTAAGGTGGGAAATATTGCGTCTCGTGACTCTCAAGACTATTCCCCAGAGTCGATTCCAGCATGGGAGATCTCTATTACACAAACCAAAATTAAGCCCGCTTCCATCGCACCGACCTAATTTGACGCATAATATTCCTCAAAAAGGTCAATTAAATCTTATTCCAACTTGCTTATCGCGCTTGTAATGGCCAAGTATTAACAACCTTCCCCTCTGGCCCAGCACGGCGCTGATGAGTTCGAGCTTGTTCAGCGCGTGGCAAAAGGTCGAACTACACAAGTCCAAATTTCCGAGAATAAGTTTTAGACAGCCATAGAGGATGCCGATTATCTCATTAAATAATCCTTGCGCAAGTAAATTTTTTTTATTCATTTTTATGTCCTGTCTGAGTCTATGACTATGTAGGACATGCAGGCTCTCTCTTCCTACAGGCCAAGGATATCTATGCCAGTAGTATATCCCCTCCTAATCCTCCCATACAGCCCGACTCAAACAGTACCGCCCCTCACAAGTCCTCATTCGATCATACACTTGGAGGAGCACCTTTCCCTTCATTATCTCCCCCCTACAGCCAATGAAACGACGGCCATTTGCGGGTGTATGGCCGCCGGGAAAAATCGCAAAAACCACTGGGTGCAGAGCTCTCCTACTACCGACATTATGAATAAATCCAAAGACATAGTGACCCTTCCGAAGCGTTCGAAGAGGCCGGCCAGCTGGGCGCAGCAGACCTGTATATACCAGAGAACGTTTCTTAACCTTCCTAGCCTCCTCCTTCATCCTCCCCTGATTCACGCAGGAGGAAAATCTGAAGCTTGTCGTGGAACACAAGAGAATTCCTTGTTAAGAGAAACCACTACACCGTAGCCTGTCTTAATATTCAAGAATTATTGCAGACGTGAGATAATAAATTACTGTTAAAAGTTAAGACAATTTCCTACTTAAGAAAGTGTGATTTTTAGTATTTGGGCTGGCAATAAATTGGTGGTGTGTACATTGCAATTCTTGAAGTAGAAAATATTTGACGCGATAGAGCTCCTTGTGAGCCTATGTAAGCGTCTATCATCTAGTGTAATACACGTTTATAAATGTAGGGTAGAAATCCTCTTAGCTGTCTGATTGGATACTGCACCACTAGATTCTTGTCTTTAAGAAGAGCACTCAGTTTGTTATTCCTTGCGTAGGCTCCTCCACTGTCTTACAAAGGAGACACCATTGATAAGTGTTGAGTTTCGTCCCTCAACAAACCTCTAGCACTCATTGTAGAGTCTGCCGAGTCGAGATTGAGTGGCAAAGTCCTCACTTCAATGAGGATTCTCTGTCGCTTTCGAAGTCTGCATTGTCTCCATCTCTCAACACATTCCCCTATCACCATAATCATGAGGCTAACCACGATCAGATCAGATGGTAAGCTCGAAGCGCTAATCATAACGAACACTTGATCATGGAGGAGATGCTATCTGATGAGTTCCCGATCCGTACCCAGCACCCGATACGGCGATGGCGAATTTTGTCAAGTTGGCCTTTAAGTTTACAAAGAAGAGATATGTGAATGGATATATACACCTTCTGTAGCTGTAGGCACAGCTATTAGAGACTTTTCCCTGCACGCGCTGTTTCCATCCCAGCCTTTTTTTTTAGGTAGAAAGTTATATGTAAAAGGTGACCGAATTGCACGGATATATATATATATATATATATATAAATTATTAAATTATAATTCCTTTAGAAGGATAGAACAGTGTGGCTGGAAGTAGATTCGATAAAGTATAGGGTTAAACAAACGTGTATTGGTACTACAGTCTCAGCATTCCCTAAGAATACTGCAGCCTAGCTCGTACCAACGTTCCACTACTAGGCTCACCTACACGCAAATATGGAACTACTAATACAGGGTAAACAAGGTTTCCAAACGGCTTACCATTTTTACTCCTATGCAAATAATAATCACAGCTACAACTCCGTTATGTTAAGGTACAGGGATAATTATGTTTGATCAACACTCTTATAATTCAACATATATATATAATTTATTTTACCTAATTTGGCGCCTAGAGGCCCATGCAGGATTATATCGGAAGATATGTGCTTTAAATAGGATGACTCAATTTGACGTTAAGAATACTCACACTCAGAATTCATTTGCAGATATCACTTGAAGTTATCCCTTACGGCGCATAACCTCTTCCGTGCATACCCACCACAGGGAAAAGCGTGAAAAACCTGTGGCTATCCGAGTGTGCTTTCATCATCCCACAAGAACGATATCACCGCGAGAGAGAGTGGTGTGTTGGTCTGACTGGATTCGAACCAGCATTCTCCTGTCTCGCATGGGGTAGGTATTCAAGGTACCCCGCACATACTTGGAAGAACGACCCAGATGGTGTACCACTGCACTATCCAACCCTGCACGGATACACACTAAGATGCATGGCTATTTGTAGTGGGTAATATATCAGAGATTTTTGAAGAAGATAGGAGCGCTGTACAAGGCGTGGCCTTGTTGAGAGGGGAGCCCAATATCTTAGATAGTCATAGGCTTAAGTAGCACAACTAAAACAAACACCGCTGATGCATTGTTTGTTTCCCAATCTAATGGTGATTCCTGGAGACTTGATGTGCTGAGTGAGACATGTACACCGTAGTTTATGGCAAATACTATTAACTAGACCCTTTGTTGAATAGGCTACACTAGTCATGCACGGCTGCAATTTCCAAAATCTTTGGTGGGTGGGGACACTACCTACACGGTATGATGTAAACTGATTCCCATCAGAGGCAGACGTATGCGCCACCTTCACCACGAACACAATAAATGATTATTCAGATTGACCACCAAAGTATTCGTGCCTCTGGTCTACAAACTTGGAGTCTTCCAGCGCCCATGTAAAATGTCAAGAACTGATGCATTGAAGGTATGGTTACCACACCTCCCGCTGAGAGAGTAGGACTGACTGAAAGTACTCATAGCGGAAACTAGAAGAGATAATTCTGAATCCCGAAAATGCCGAATTGCTCGCGATCCTCAAGGCGGCCCGTAATGGTGCGGTATATGGTGCTAAAGTGCGCTTCCCCCACGCGCTCGTGTAGGTCCTCAGAAAGCAAGCCCTGCCTCTTCCTCGTGGACACAGCTGACAAGCTCGGCTACGTCAAAGTATGACATTTCTCTTTCGGTCCGGTACCCTGCGAGAGAAAGTTGATGCTATATTCGCTGCCACACGATCACACGCCCTGGTCCTTGCTAGATACGCAGCTGTGTATAAGCTAGTTATGTTTTGTCTGAAGTATATGGGCTCAGACGTAGGCAAAGAAGGCACTCATGATACCTTTATTGCTGGATTAATCGGTGGCTATTTGATCTTTGGCCGGCGATCATCCAGAGGACGGATATCCCCTGTCAGTAAGCAGATAGTAATCTTCGGTACGAACCGTGCTACCAGAATGAAGTTCCATTTTAATAAATTACAACAGTATTTGCGAGGGCACTTTTATCTTTGGCCCAGATTTCCGTCGATCCCTCTCAGGGTATCATCAAGAATAACCAACTGTCCAAACAAATTTCTCATGGGGCATGGCCATTCTTTGCAGCTATAAGCTGGGGCTCAATAATGTGGCTATTTAGATGGTATCCGCATACAGTACAGTCGGGACTAAGGAGTAGTATGGATTACATTTACGTTCAGAGTGATCAATGGGATAGCCTTAGGAATTTTTTAATATATAACAAATAGATAATACAGCTTTTAATAAGTTCTTCACCAAATATCTTGAAAGACTTGAAACTGAACCCCCATTAATTCTCTCATCCGTAGGGTTGTTTATGTAATAAATTCTAGCCTTGTCGTTTGCACCCGAAACACATGTATCCTTCCGCAAAGGAATATTGCTCATCGTCTACAGAAAACGGCTGCATTAGATTTTTGGCTTTGGATTCTCGTTCAAGAATTCGACCTACATAGGGGGCGATTACTGTTTCTGTCCGATCCATTCTTCGAATCCCCATTTTCCGCACTCGACTCTGACCAAGATTCCGCCGCGGCCCCTGAGATAAATGGCATTTTTCATGGTTTCCCGTACACACTCACACCAGCCATCTCTCACCATAGCCCCTAATCTGATGAGTTCGACCACAAAAACTAACTCCACCACACTAGGAAATATATGAAGAACCCCAGCCCATTCAGGCGTCTGTTTGCCTAGTTTCCCGTATGATACGCGTATGCGTCTTATGCTTGTACAAGCTGCCCGAGGTAGAATTTCTATCGGTGCATAGGACGATAAACTAAATGTAGCATGGGTGTAATAAATTTCTCGAGGTATTGATATTGCGAGAATCAATGGAAGAGAAGTCTGTAGATGCAGGGATTTGCCGGCGTTAGCAGTTGTGAGTTCGAGGGGCGCCAAGGCGCTAAAGTAGAAGCGGTATATGTGGTGTTGAATTTCTAATGGAAGGGAGCTGATGCGAAAGTGGGAGAACGTCGAAGATTGCGTAGAAATAAGTTCTGAGATGGGTACCGATGGGATTGATTGAGGAGTGGTATCTAGCGTGTATGTGAGTGGCTGTTGGTGATATCCACACCCAAATTCGTAGTCATAACATTGTGCTTTTGATATGGTTAAGGACTGCGTCATTGTTAAGCACGCAATTAGATCGCCGCTAACCAATCTTGCGGCTATATTTCTGGATCAATGTATAGTCCATGGTACCAAAAAAGGCCATATATATCACATAGATCTGGTCGGGTGAGGGCTTTTGCTCTTCTTGTGAGCAGATTTGAGGTGCTTGTCTTTCGGAGACCTACCTACCAGTAGCCGGGGAGGGGCTTTTGAAATGGGCGATGATCACCTGGTGGAACCTGTTAAAGTTTCGTCAATGATTTTATGTTTGTTCGAGCGGAGGGGCGGACGTTAATACAGATGCCCGCACATAGCCGTGAATGCCAATAAGCTACCGTGACACGAAGCAGGGATCTTGTCCGTATGTCTCCACTGCTACTGTCATTAGCTCAGGAACAAGGTGTGTTGGCCCGCATACCTCCTCGTGTCCGTGAGTAGTTCTACCTCGGCGGTTGGTTAGGAAATGATATGGAAATACTGTTGAGTTACCATCAACTGATTATCCAGTCGGCATCGAAACATTTTTTCGGCTTGTGTGTAGGTGCAACCTCGCTAGGTCCGTTCACATTGGAACCAATTTCGAGTATATACACAGCTAAAGTGATGAGATATGTTGGTAAAATAACTTTTGTGGAAATAATTGATTCAACCGCTACCACGTCCCCTAACCATGCACGAGGATACTGAATCTTTTGTGTATGATGTTCTTGAGTCGCTAAGTTTTTGATATCGTTTACGATTTGTGCTAGTTGTACCACCACCAACACATACTCTGTTTTCGGCAGGGTCTCGGGTGGCTGGGTATCCCACACGGACGCCTGATCATGGAGCAAAAGCCATCAGATGAATTTTCGGATCGTACCTAGCACCCAATACGACGATGGCAAATTCTGTCAAGTTGGCCTTTAAGTTTACAAAGAAGAGATATTTGAATGGATATATATACCTTCTGCAGCTGTAGGCACAGTTTTTTGAGACTTTTCCCTGCACGCGCTGTTTCCATCACAACCTTTTCATTTTTTTGGGTAGAAGGTTCCGTGGAAAAAGTGGCCGAATTCCATGCATACACACTGAGCTGAATGGCTATTTATTGTGGGTAGTATATCAGAGATTTTTGAAGTAAGAGGATAGGAGCGCTGTACAAGGCGTGGCCTTGGTGAGAGAGGAGCCCAATGTACTAAATTGTCTATGACTCAAGTATATCAATAAAAACACACTTACTCCTGGGTTTTCAGAGGACCCTGCGGAAGGGCGTTTAGTCGATACCCTCCAATGTCATACCATGAGCTGGTAGGTATTTGGATACTCCATCGCATTTGACATCCTGCGGTTGAGGTACATTTTTATTGGTACAGTCGGAATTCATACTTAAAGTCCCTTTTGCCGCTCGAATTGTAAGAAATTTACTCGAACAATTTCAGGGGTCTTTCCACCCGTTGAAATAATGTAGCTAATATTCTCTTTGTTTAATCTTGTCCTTGACAAAATTACCTTGCAGATTTTGCGAACCTATTCACGCTGAATCTAGCTTCAATAGGACTACCTGAACCCCAGGCGTAGATCCGACTAGATATTGTTATGGTTAGAGTAACGCTTCCCATGTATGGCTCCGCTTTTTCCTCAAAGCGGTTTAAAGCGTCGGTAGTTCATGTACAGCCTGTCTCCTTGAATTATATGCATTGTTACAATTAGTCGACTCCTCTTGTGCCCGGAAGTTTGGGTCATTATGACGAGAGGTGAAGTAAGTTGGTCGTTATCTTCCCATTCAGCGGGACGATGGCTCAAGCCATTTTCTCGAGTGATATGCATATTTTGGTTATACTAATCCCCCTTTAAAATCTAGATTTTACACGTCCACATTGGGCAGGCAGGCACGCAGCTTGGAAATAGCGCTTGGGAATTGTAGGTCATCTGGTCCACTTTTGACATCCAAATTTTTGGCAGTGTTAAACTAAAACTCACAGATATCTTCTCGAGCACGGCCTCACCAAGGAAGGTCGCATTAATCCCGATCAACAAGAATTATATGATTCAAGCTCGCTTGATACAATTTTCTCGGAAAGCAGCAGCGGAAAACATGTTCCCCGATGTATCTTTGTTGATCTGGACCCCTCGCCAATCGATGAGATCCGCACGGGTGACTTCAAACAGCTTTTTCACCCTGATTTATTGGTTTCAGGCAAAGAAGATGCCGCGAATAACTACGCGCGCGGGCATTACACTGTCGGCAAAGAGATTATAGATGTGACGCTTGAAAAGATTCGTCAAGTTCTGGTCTGACTCTCCTTGGCGACAAATCCGTAAAGTTACTTACCTGTCGAGTAGGACAACTGCTCTTCTCTCCAGGGCTTCTTAATTTTTCACTCCTTTGGCGGAGGGACTGGTTCCGGTTTTGGCTCCCTGCTCCTCGAACGCCTTTCTACTGATTATGGAAAGAAGGCCAAGCTCGAGTTTGCTGTCTACCCTGCCCCCAAGATGGCCAGCTCTATCGTTGAGCCTTACAACGCAGTCCTCTCAACTCACTCAACGATTGAAAACTGCGATTGTACGTTCCTGGTTGATAACGAAGCAGTATATTCTATATGCAGGAACACATTAAACATCCCATGCCCCTCATATTATCATTTGAACCGTTTGATATCTCAGGTCGTAAGCAGCATCACTTCTAGTTTACGATTTGAGGGTGTTTTGAATGTTGACCTGAATGATTTTCAAACCAATTTGGTCCCATATCCTCGAATTCATTACCCACTAATCTCCTTCGCACCATTGACACCTGCTTCACTTCAAAGCCACGAATCGTATAGGACAGAACTCTTAACCGTTCAGTGAGTTCAAGATCTTTTACTGGGTTCATGATACTAATTAAACAGATGTTTTAACACGGAAAATCAAATGGTGGTTTGTGACCCTCATGCTGGGAAGTATATGGCTGTCACTTTGCTTTATCGTGGTGATGTTGTTCCTGTCGAGGTTAACAACGCCATTAGGACGATCAAGTCTAAGCGAACTTTTAATCTTGTGGAGTGGTGCCCCACAGGCTTCAAAGTTGGAATCAACAACCAAAAGCCTGTATCTATTCCTGGTGACGGTGCGCTTGCCTTAGGCGACAGATCTGTGTCTATGCTTAGCAACACCACCGCAATCTCTGAAGCATGGGTCTCCATTGATCGTAAATTTGATCTGATGTACAGCAAGCGTGCCTTCGTCCATTGGTATGTAGGCGAGGGCATGGAGGAAGGTGAGTTCAGCGAGGCGCGAGAGGACTTGGCAGCTCTAGAAAGGGATTACGAGGAAGTCGCGGCCGATTCACTCGAACATGATGCAGTCGATGAGTACTAAGTAATGGCAGTAATGCCATAAAACCATCTTATTTTGGACTGATGGGGCTTCAGGATATAATAAAGCCTGCCGCACAAAAGTCTTGTAAAACTAGGTAATGCGTTCTGGAATGAAACCCCCCTAGATATCTTGGGAAAACCTTGTTTAATTTGCATGCTTCAGTAATAGCCGTATCTATCTCTGGGTGAGAAGGCGTCACTAATCAAAGGGGTTCCGGAAGAATTTCATAGTACACAGTTCATATGCATTTAAGCTTATGAAACACAGTTAAAGATGTGTAGTCTTTTGTTCAATGTCTATCTTTATTTTCTGAATATGTGAGTGACGTAGATTCTCTCCGCTTACATGTAATGGATTCCTCTGGTTCGGATACTTTGTCCGCGACTTCACCTCATAAACAGCTACGGTAAAACAGTGCTATCCCTCATAAATCTTTTGACCAAAGACATTGATGAGTCATTTGCTTTTGTTACCCCTCAACTCAACATAACGACGGAAATTTGTGGATAAAGGGTAGTTAGAATAAGTACAAGAGACACTGAGCGTGGGGCTTCCTTGAGACCGATAATATAACTTGATTCCAAGACATAACATTCAATCTAGAGTGTTGCGAGAAATCTAACAGTAGGCCGCTGCAGACTTGTGCGTACCTAATATGATAATGAGTGTATGTGTGATATCTTAGAGTCTAGATATTGGTGGTATGTAGTACAGGAAAATTGGGAAGTGTTTGATAATTGGTCTATGCCAAATCTCTGGAAAAAAGATATGCATACGATACAACGATTTCCAATCATGATTAGGGGTTAAGTGCAAAAAATACCATCCATATATCCGAATCGAAGTCGAAAGCAAACACATCCATATCTCCATTTGTAGACTTACCAATCATGCAGCACTTAACGTTTTCCTCTGAGTCCTCAACCTCTCTCTAACCACACATCATCACGCCTCAACGATCGATAAGTCGTCACCCCAATTGCAAACAGGAGCATATCTCGTTCATTACCGGCCATCACTCACTACAAATTTACGACGCTACGTAGACCCGCAAGGAGGAAATTAAGTCATAATATACAAAGCTCGGGTCATGGTTTATGCGGGACTGTTACTCCAATGCGGTTATACATTTTGAGGGTGAACAGATGGCTGAGATGTGGAGCAAGCAGGGGAACAGGTCCCTGAAAACTATGCTAGGACCGATATTTTCGAGGAGTTTTCAACTTCGAATTTTTAGTGGGCGCCAAGACCAAGATTTCGACCAATTAGCCAGGAGGGTTTTAATTGTCGATGAGTGAACGGCACAAAAGAAGTTGGGCTAAGCTACCATACAGCAACCACTCTCCGTCAAGACTTTTCTGACATTTCCGCACGGTCTTGGGGAGGGAGTTGGAAGCAGGCGAGAAAGGCAGAGGGTGAATTTCCCAAGGTACCCACTAGTCTGCAGCGCCCAGCTGACCGACCTCTTCGATCGCTTCAGAAGGATCACTATGTCTTCGGACTTAGTCATAATGTCGGTATCAGGAGAGCCACGCACCAAGTGGTCTTCGCGATTTTTCTCGGCTGCCATACACCCGCAAATGGCCATCGTTTCGTTGGCTGGAGAGGAGAGATAATGAAGGGCAAAGTGCACCTCTTAGTGTATGATCGAATGAGGACTTGTGAGGGGCGGTACTGTTTGAGTCGAGCTGTATGGGAGGATTAGGAGGGGATATACTACTGGCATAGATATCCTTGGCCTGTAGGCAGAGAGGACCTGCATGTCCTATATATTCATAGACTCAGACAGGACAATAAAATGAATTTTAATAAAAAAAAACAGATCAAATTGACTTCGTTAATCGAATTTTTTTCAACAATCTTACCACATTTACGTCCCCATATCCACTGTGTCACAACATGATGGGTGCTGGTCCCGGTTCGATGGGATCCAGCGCTCTCGACGCATCGCAAAATGCGACAATAGCCGAACCATCCGAAGGTAGCGGAGCGTCAACAGTTCCACCAGATAAGAATCTTAATATCCTATGGCTATGACTAAAAAATCTCAGGACTCTTTATTCAGATGAAGACGACAATGGCATTACCATCACTACGGATGACATCGTAGATGCCGTCAGGGCTTTCAACGCACACAACAAGGCTTGGAAGGAGATGCAGACGATGAAATCTCCCATCGAAGAGAGGATGTTGGCTCTTGAAGAAGCAGTCAAGAAGAATCTCGCGGAGTCCGCTCGCTACGCGGCTCCAACAATTTTTGAGCCGCAGGCCCCAAGGACATACGCGTCGGTGGCAGCGGCGCCAATGGCCAAAACAGCGGATAGAATACGCGTCGGGGGTGCGAAAGACATGCAACAAGCACAGCTCCTTACAAGAGCACAAAAACATATACCAGGGGCACACGCAGTGCGACAGATGCGGAGCAATGACACCGAGGTTTTTGATCGGGGGCGACCCAGAGAGACATGGCTCATGATATGGTAGAACAAGAGGACTTTCAGGTCCTAAGGCATGATTTTCCCCTGGAGGTTTATGGGGTCCCACTGACGACAAAAATCGAAGGGGGCAAATATGCCAACAATACGACATTGATACAGGACATAGAATTGTCTATAGCAGTACGAATTCCAGGTCTAAAGATAAATAGAATAAGATGGATGCACGATGGAAAGGAGATCGATCGAGCCAAGACAAACGTCCGCACAAGGAGCTCAATTGTTCTGAGTCTTCCTACGGAGGTCTTGCAGAAACAAGTTGTTCGACATGGCATTGTCCTTAATGCCATGCTATACTCAGTGCAGGTGTGGTCTCCGAGGGCTCAGGCAAAGCAGTGTTACAACTGCAGTCAGTGGGGACACACCCAGGCGTCATGCGGTGAGTGCGCAGGTGCTCACCATACCTGGGACTTTCCTAGGAAATAGTTTCTTGCGTCAACTGTGGCAGGGAGCATATTTTTTTTGCATCAGATATTAATTGCGTATGCAGCTATCTAGCTATGGCACATTATCAAAGAATAATATAGAATAGATGATTCATCGTAAAGGAAGAGCACTCATGCCTCGGATGTCATTTGCAGGTACCACTGCGAAGTTATGGTGGCTTTTTCTGTTATGATGAGACAACGAGGTAGTCGAGGCTAGGGCATCGCGTGTGGCTCAAGGCCACAGCATACATCACTAGTGTACTGGTTAGGCGAGCATGTATATAGTTTCATAGATGTACCCACAGTAAATGGACACAGGTTTAGTCTTATACTTTCTGTCCATATACCTACAGCATAGTATTGTATGAGGCTACTCACTGTCAACCACAAATTACATCATCATCCACTCCTCATTACTCCGCAATGTGACTTCCGCATAGCTCATAACCACAACATTTTCTTCACTCCAAGTCAACCCCCATCCGTGGACACCCACCCAGGGGAACGTCTCAAAAACCCTGAGTTAACCAGACATGCCTCCGTCATCCATTATCTTTCCTCCGCGCGAAATGTGATCTGAGGTGTCTCCTTCCCAAGCGAAGTAGATGCCCAGGCTACTCAGACTATACCGGAGAACACCACCAGGAGGCGGACCACGGCACCTTCCATCGTTTGCTTGCGTTCATAGTGTCAGCTGCACTCTCGCAACCGAAGCCTTAGCACGCACGAGACTCAATTTGTTAAAACACCTTGCCAAACTTCGTAATTTCACGCCCTTCGAGGTTATATCCATTCTCTGCATCTTTTTGTGGACTTGTCCTGAATTCTCTCACGTCCACCTCAAAGAACTGTCTCCCAGATTTTTTCGCCACGCTTTGTTTCCTCCGTCGGGTGTAAATATCGGTGTGGCCATGTATTTGGTGATTAACTGAGGCCAGAGAAAGTCGAAGAGAGGTGTGGTCATTGAAATTAGGATGTATTAGCTCGTACTTGTAAACTTGATGAGACTTGAGTCGGTGTCAATCTCGTTGGGAGTGATAATTTGACGTGGCGGAGTAGTTTGAATCATTGCTTCGTGGGTCAACTTCTTTGTTATTGCGAAATTTGACTGAACTTGGCACTGGGAGAATATTTCACTCCCAGATTCGAAGGGGACACCGCGTGCAAGTGTTCAGTATTGCCCTCCAATCAGAAATATTGTGTGTAAGAAATTGAGCGAGTAGAAGTAGATATGCCATCACTACTTCCACAATGCCAATCTGCCATAAGTTTCCCAATAAAAATCCATATCTGTATAATACTTCCCGAGCCACTTAACAATAAACAGAATGAGATGGATGAAAGACAGAAAGGAGATCGAGCAGGCCACGAAGAGCGGCCATTCAGGGGGCTCGATTATACTGGGCCTCCCCACAAAGAGCTTACAAGAACAGGTGGTTCGACACGGCATTGTCCTCAATGCTGTGCTCTACTCGGCACAGGTATGATCCCCCAAGACCCAGCCAAAGCAGTGTTACGTCTGCGGCTAATGGAGACACATGCAGGCGTCTTGCGGTAAGGCCGCCCGATATAGCAACTGCTTTGGTGTTCACTAGACTCGGGGCTGCCCATGGAAAATATTTTTTTCCGTGATTTGTAGCAGGGAGCTTCATTTATAGCAGATAGCAGTGTGTCAAAGTTTTCGGGTCTATAAAAGAGGTGTTAAATGGGCCCGTTTGGAGCTCTCGGAATGAACGGCTTTTTTTTTTTAAATCATTTAAGTGTATTCAGCTATATAGCTATGACACATGACCAGTGCTATGTATACATGTGGGATGACTCTTTTTGCTTTAGAGACACTCATACTCTGGATTTCATTTGCAAATACCACTATGAGGTATGTTCGCTTACACAAACAGTCGACCTTCCTCCGTTAGTACCCACCAAAGGGAATTTCGAAACTTTTGGTTATCCAAGTAGCCTTCATCATCCATGCATACTAGCGCCGCGAGAAATGTGGTTGTGTTTTGCCGGATTCGAACCGGCGATCTACTGTCTCGAGTGGGTCATGTGTCCAAGCTATCCAGACTCTACTTGGCAGACCGGCCAAGATGATGTACCACCGCACCATCCAACCATGGTGTTATTTAAAGTGTCGCCTGCACTCGGGAACGAACGGCTTAAATTCGAAGGAAAAGCAGTCCCACAATTTCTGCCCAAATAGCATCTGCGACCCCTGACGATCAAGGATTCACACTGATCACTAATCCCAAGGTTGAGCCCCAGAAGGGACCAGCACGTCCAGGAAAGGTGATCGCAGACTCAACGACGGTACTAAATACATCAAAGGCTATGTCACCGGCAGTTCCAACGATTCCGTCATCTGTAAGAGGAAAGAGGAAAGAAGGATGGTGAACTGAATCTCTCAAACTTCATCTAAGTAAGGATCAGGGTGATAGAGGAGTTAACGTTTGGGGTGAAACAAAATTGAATGGAACAAAGGGACAACCTCAGCATCAAAGTGGGCTGTCCCCGGAAACTTCGCTACATGTCACCGTCGTTTCAACAACTTCACCGCTTCCATGGAGTGTGCGTGTGGAGAGGAAACATCACCTCTCCACTTCATTCACTGTCGACTGCACGAACGTCAGACGCGTCGACTACGAGGTACAATGTCACATCACGACTTTGTCCAAAAGCTTCTCGGGCCTAAGTGCCTTGAGGATTTTACAAATTTTGCGCAGGAAACCGGCTGCTTCGGCGATTCACCTGCAAGTCCGTCACCAGCTCTCAGCGGAGACAACATTAACTGGGTCATAGCACGAAGCATGACAGAAAGGAAAACGAGACGAGGAGCGTCGCTTTCCCACCTCAAATTGGAGTATTGGATTTGGAATTTTGGTTATGGGAGTCTGTGGGAGCATTTATATTCTTTCTTATAACTAGCTACTGTTTGTGTAGTGGATCACGCAGTGAGACCGAGTCGGGCACGTGGGAAGCATGATCTTGGCCGTGTACACCGGTCCTTGACTCCTAGGAGATATAGAGCATAGCTTAGGACCTAAAATTTATTAAAAAAAAAAGAAGTGGGCTGTGCTGTCGCGGTGGAACTATGGGTTCTATTACTTGAAGGCCTTTTCCCTTCCTACCATCGCTTACTGTCTTCATGGTTCTGTATACAGAAACCGCATAGGACGTTAAACTAGAAAAATTCTATTCAATAAAAAAATAACAGGGAGCGTAGAAAAACATCATTTTTGCCAGAAACCCGCGCAGCGTTCCACGCTGCCCGCATCATCAAATTGACATCGTGATTATTATTTTTACATCTTCATTACCCTCATTTCATCTTTTCCCTTTCAGTGCTCCAACATGGCGAGTGTGGGTGCTGGTGTGGGTAAATCCAGCGGTTTCGACGCGTCGTAAAATGCGACAACGGTATCATCAAACAACGGGAGCGGAGCGCTGATAGCTCCAAAGGGTCCTAACTTGGAAATAATAGGGAAACTATTAAAAAAGGTCAGACTAATTGTGATGGGAGAGATGGATGAGGAGGACTTACCAACAATGGAAGACGTGAATGAAGCCGTCAAGGCATTCAATTGTCACAAGAAGGCTTGGATAACAATGTCTCAGATCCCATCTCTGATCGAGAAGAGGATGATAGCATTGGAGGAGGTGGTAAAGAAAAGCATCGCGGACGTCGCGCGACAGGCAGCTCCTGTTGTGTCGTCTGGGAAGCCGCTACCAAGGACCTACGCGTCGGTCGTAGCTCCACAAATGGCAAAAACGGCGGTCAGAATAAGAATCAATGGCGCACAAAACTTGCAGCCTCAAGAGCTGCTAACAAAGGCACAAGAACATATTCAAGGCGCATACGCGATTCGCCAAATGTGAAGCAATGACACTGAGGAGTTCGTCCAGTCGGCGTCCCAGAGAGACGTGGCGCTCAACATGCGCCAACCCAACGAATTTAAGATACCACGGCAAGGTTTTCCCGTCGAGGTTTCTGGTGTCCCTTTGCGGACTCGAATTGAGGGTGGCAGAGATGCTCAAAATCACGCTATCATCAGGGAGATTGAGATAGCAACTAAGGCTCGAATTCCCGGCCTAGTGATTAATCGAATTAGGTGGCTACATGATGGAAAGGAGCACCAGCGATCGAAGAAAAACGGTCGCAATGGAGGATCAATTGTGGTCAGCCTCCCATCAGAGGCAATGCAAACGGAGGTAGTTCGAAAGGGCCTTGTAATTAATGCCATGCTCTTCACCGCGCAGGTGTGGTCTCCAAGGGCCCAGCCAAAGCAGTGTTACAACTGCAGCCAGTAGGGACACACGCAGGCGTCGTGTGGAAAGGCAGCCAGGTGCGGTGAGTGCGCTGGCGCTCACCAAACTCGGGACTGTCCGAGGAAAAGGGTTTCTTGTGTGAACTGCAGCAAGTAGCACCGTTCGTGGCAGAAAGCGGCATGTCGGACCTGCCAGGTCTACAAGGGAAGTGTAGAGAAGGCTCGGATGGAGCTGTTATCGAGAACGGCAGATATTTGGAATGAAAAACCAACAATGGCGCCAATACAAACAGTCAGACCAACTGATGATCAGGGATTTACTTTGGTCACCAGAAAGAAGGCTGAAGGACTTAAAAGAGGGCCGGGACGACCACGCAAGGGAGTCGAAGCCCCAGCGGCACCAACCATCGCCTCGACAGCAGCACCACCATCGGGGCCAACTCTTCGAACACTTCGAAGACCAACGCCGAGTGAGGAGGTGCCTTCTCTTTTTAATTTCTCATAACGTTAGTGTGATCGAAGGGGGAGTTAACGAATTTGTGAGAAAGTTTATAAAATTGTAGTTGAAAGGAACGTCCTCAGCATTAAGCCGGGTCGGTTCAGAGTGGCAGGACATCGGGTTTTGTTTGTTGAAAGCTTTTTCCCTTCTTAACATAGCTCACCATCTTCATGGTTCTGTATATAGATACCGCACAGGACGTTAAACTAGAATAATGAATGAATGAAATGAAATAGGGAGTGTATAATTCGCGTAAATACCGAATTCGGCAGTTTACCCCTTGTATTACTCTAAAAATAGCACCTTGCCGTGAAATATTAACGAGCCAAGATTCCACACAGCCCCATATTTCGCAGAATGTGTGGAATAAATCGCGAGTAGTTCGAACCTGAAGCAATATCCTCATCAAATTTACAGAAATGAAACGGAAAGCAGATCATATGGCTGAAGTCTCCAATCATCGTAGCATTCTGAAGAAGCGCGCCAAGAAAGGTTGGTCAAATCCTTCCCAGCAACTCAACATCACCTAGCTTAGTTTCTCGCTGGCTAACCACTCAAAAGTTCTCAACAAAGACGAAATCTTGAAATGTTTTCGTCAAGGGCTATTTTCCCGCGACAGTCTCCGGAAGTATGCGCAAGATTATGCCTCGTCAAAACCCTACAAGCACAGTATTATCAGTGGTCTAATTAACGACGAGCTACTCCGATGTGTGCGTGCTGAGGTCCTAAAACACGTCCATTTCACTCCTAAGGAAACAGATATATATCGAATTCACCAATCGGGTGACCTAGCCAATCTTGATGGCCTCGATGATGCGGCCTTGGAGAAATTACCAAGCCTACTTCGCCTAAGAGATGCTCTTTATTCGCATGAATTTCGAAAATTTATTGCAGCAATTACGGACACTGGAGAGCTAAGTGGGAAAAAGACTGATATGGCTATTAACGTTTACACTCCTGGATGCCACTTGCTATGCCATGACGATGTTATTGGAAGTCGAAGAGTCAGCTATATATTATATCTGATAGATCCAGACTTGCCGTGGAAAAATGAATGGGGAGGAGCTTTGCGACTTTATCCTACTAAAACACATGAAAATAATGGGCAGAAAACAGTTACGCCTTGCTCAGATTTTGAAAAGAAACTGCCGCCTGCATGGAACCAGTTAAGCTTCTTTGCTGTGCAGCCTGGAGAAAGTTTTCATGATGTTGAGGAGGTTTATCATGCTAGAAACAAAAAAATGCTCGAAAAAGATGGCGGCAGAATTCGTATGGCAATAAGTGGCTGGTATCATATTCCTCAAAGCGGCGAAGAAGGTTTTGTTGAGGGCGAAGAAGAAAAATGGGGAAAGAATAGCAGCTTGAAGCAGTTACAAGGGCATCCGGATCTATACGATTTTCCAAAGCCGCAACCAACACCCTATGAAACTTCTGCAGTCGTCAATACTTCGGAGAAAAGTCTCAGTGAGGCAGATATTGATTTTTTGCTAAGATATCTAGCTCCTAGTTATCTTACACCTGATACATTGGGCTCAGTTGCTGAAAATTTTGTGGAACTATCAAGTGTAACACTTGATGGGCTATTATCTCAAAAGTTCTCTGCGAGAATAAGAGAATATGTTGAGGCTCAGGAAAATCGATCATTAGTCAGCAATACTGCTGAAATCGACAAAGGCTTATACAGCGTTGCCCGACCGCCCCATAAACATCGTTATCTCTATCAACAGCCTGCAATTCCACCACTTCAAGATGATAACAAAGAATATGATAATCCCATTCAGGAGCTACTCCAGGTATTTCTACCTAGTCAAGCGTTCAAACTGTGGCTGGAACTGGCGACTGAATGCACTATTAAGAACTTTGATATATTAGGACGAAGGTTCAGACGAGGCTCCGATTATTCCCTAGCTACAAATTATGACGGTGATCCGAGGCTAGAAATCTGCCTCGGTCTTACACCAACTTTAGGGTGGCAAGAAGATGAAGACTTACCAGATGAAAATTATCAACAAGAAAAAGCACCCGTCCCGCCAAAGCAGAACAAAAGGAAATCTGAAATCGAAATAGGAAAGCATATAAAGCCTAAAAAAGTCAGGAACAAGGAAAATGAGGAAAGTCTTATGGATGAGTCGGCAAAAATCCCAAGTAAAATCAAGAGAGAAATTTTGTTAGAACCAGCTGAGACTGAGGAATTTGAGGTTGGAGGTCAAGAAGTATATATGGCAGGCGATGATGAAACTGAAGACGCTGCAGTATATAAAGGAACAACAGAGTCGGAAGACGATGGGGTTCTCTTCACTATGCCAGCGGCGTGGAACAAGATGAGTATAGTACTCCGCGATAGTGGCGTTCTGAAGTTTGTAAAATACGTTAGTAATAATGCTAGGGGTGATAGATGGGACATAGTCGGTGCCTTTGAGTTGATAGACAAAGGAGAAAGCATCAGCGAAGATGATGAATTATCTCCGGAAAGGTCAGTCCTGCCTGAAAATTCCAGTGATGAAGAAGAATTTGAAGGATTTTCCGATTCTGAGGCCCATGATACTGGTTAAACCTCTTTTTTTTATTTCGATCTTAAATGTATGCTTAGCTTCAAAGTTTAAGCATTTCCTTACTTGTGAGGCCTAAAAATTGCTTCCGCGTTGTTTGCACTTTAAATTCCCAGCGCACATATTTATTTCTGGTATCCCATTCAGATTTCAAACAACCAAAATTTATCATAAAATTGAACTCAACTTCTATATACCTTCCATACCACACCAGTATTCCGCTGAGGCTCACCTTTTACAAACTCTCCCTACCTAATCCCCGACGCGTTAAGATTCCGAAATGGTCCTCAGCGGGCCATATCAACGAGAACTGTTATGTTACCTAGACTGTATAGGGGCAGGACGATGGATACTCTTGAGGAAGTCATGCTCACAATAGGTCTCGATAATCGCTATCGCGTCTGTTCTCGTGATACGTAAGAATTGTATCTATATTCTCGTACAAAGGAAACTTGATTACATAGAATGAACGGAGGTTGAGACTTTATACCTTGCTCCAGACTTACTGTGTTGTTCACAGCCTACTGCTAGAACATTCCCTTTTGATATCATTTCTCTTCTACGAGAAATGACCGTTTCGTTCTCCCTCAGTCTGTTAGTCTCTCGCTAATTCCATTATCTCTATTCTATCGAGTTCTAATTTGATCCATAATACTCATACATGCATTATACACTAAACAGGGGGACTATTCTCAACACCTGTCAGTGGTGTCCCCTACGAACCTCCAGCTCTCACTGTAGAGTCTGCAGAGCCGAGATTGAGTAACAAAGTCCTCACTTCAACGAGGATTCCCAACTGCTTTCGCGGTCTGTATCGTCTTCATTTCTCCATGCATTTCCTTATCACCTTTATCATGAAGCAAACCACTATCAGATCAGATGGTAGGGTCGGAGCCCTACTCATCACCAACCCTTGATCATGGAGGGAAATCCATCCGATGAGTATCCGGAGCGTACTCAGCACCCGATACGGAGATGGTGGATTGGATCAAGTCGGTCACGACTGTTACAAAGAAGGGAGATATAGATGAATATGCGCACCTCATGTGGTCCCGGTGTCTAGGTCTCGCCTGGCTGGGGCTGCAGGTTTTTTGAGACTTTTTCCCGCGCACGCAGTTTCCATTGCTACCATTTTTATCTTTTTTGGGAAGAAGGTTCCGTGGAAAAGGTGGCTGAATTCCACGGGTAAACACTGGGCTGAATGGCTATTCACCAAGGGGGATTTACCAATGATCTTTCAAGTAACAAAAGAGGATAGGAGCACTGAACAAGGTGTGGCCTGGGTCAGAGAAGAGCCCAATGTGCTAGATAGTCATAGCCTCAAGTAGTACAAAAATACACAAACACACACAACCACAATTTTTTTGAAATTCGAATTTTCGAATATTCCTATTGTCCCCCTCTTCCTCCCTTTCGCGCTCGTCGCATTCATCAGAAGATTGTGATCTCAATGACAAGCCCCCGATCTTCGGAATGGCACTGGGGCAACCCAAAAAATCGCGTGAGGATCGTGTTATCGACGCCCTCGGAAGAGCGCACAAGAAAGTGATCAAACGTATGATCGACAAGAATTCGACAGTAAAAACATCGACTATGGAAAAATGGATATAGAGCTTATCGAGAGGATCAATGCCCTCGAAGAAAACACCAGCTCTAGCAATCCAGACATGGAAATGTCCGATAGAACAATCGACATTTATATCCAAGAGGGCCTCAGTAGCTCTAGATGGAACGTACAAGACTCAGAAGACAGCCAAGTCATAGTCATCCCCGCCAGCACAACTAGAAAAATTGCTGTCCCTGCTGTTAGGCGGGCTGCGATCGCGCAAACAAGTAAGGAAAAAGGCGCCGCATGTCCCAAAAGTCCCTTTGAGGGTACACCAGGGATTACAGAGGAGAGTACCGCTTCTCGCAGCGAAAATAACACCAAGCTGACAGAAAAATATCTCTCCGAACTTAGCGCCTTAATCGAAGCCGAAGAACGCCAGACTGCTAAAACAGCGGAAAATGTTAAGATCTGCACTGCTGCAATAAACGGTGTCGAAAATGCTCTCTCCCCCCTATCCAGAGGGACGAGTGTTCAATTTATAGACTCCATGAAGGTCTACATCAGGGCTGCAATAGCTCAATTCATGATATCGGGACCGGGTACAGTCCTCCCAGTACTTCCCTCGCGCCCTGAAACCCAGGCTACTGGCGGCAAGATTATAGAACGTGCCACCAAAAATCAAGATGAGCCACAAAGTAAAGTGACTCATGACAAAGTCTCCCAGGCCAAAACTACTTGGGCCTCAATCACCCGCACCGGTATAAAGACTCCCCCGGCAACTACAAAAGTCGCGCAGGCTATGCCAAAGGCGGCAAACTCGACGCGACCTTCCAAAAACCCGACCGTCCCAACGCAATCAGGCACCAAAGATGAACGCTTGTTTCTTCGCCTTGGAAATGAACACCATTGGAGAAAGCTATCACCGTTTGGTGTTAGAGAGGCTGTGGCAAAAGTGCTTGAAATTCCTCAAGCCAATATCGAGCACGTATACCGTGTTCCAACTGGCTTCGCAATTAAAGCCGAAACTCAAGAGGCACGCGCCATCATGTTAAGCCTAGCTGGGTCCCTCGTCCAGCAAGATGCCATACTGGAAGAAGCATCGGACCTTGGCTCACTTAGAATCGCAACAGTTCCAGTTGCCATTAATACAATAATGGGTAGAGTTATCGTCACTGAAGAGATGGTAACAGACGAGATAGTCAGGGTCACCAAGGCTGTTCCGGTAAAAGTTCGCCCACATGTGAAAAGCCGACTTGGAGCCCCATACCAGTCATGGGTAGCCCTTTTCGAAAAAGCATCGATCCCTCGGCCAGGTTTCCGACTTTTCGACGACTCTGGGATTGCAGTCCGCCACCAGCCTCGTCAAAGCATCAACCAGTGCAAAAGGTGCCTACAATTCCATGGCACCAGGGGCTGCTCGCGTGCCCAAGTCTGCTGGAATTGTACTTCAACTATGCATTCCATCGCTGAGTGTAAGGCACACACCAGGTGCCGCTACTGTGGAGGTCCACACAGGTCAGATAGTCGGGACTGTCTAGCTCGTCCAACAAAGTCTGGAATGGCCTCTAGGGAAAACCTTCAGACCATAAGGCAGGTTAGCCAACGCGAATACGCAGCAGTCACTCGGGCCATAGCAGCTGTCAAACGCGCAGAGGCAGCGATGGCAGCAGCCGCAGAAGCGTCAAATACTAACCAGCCAGGTTTCAAATCGACCAACTGTTTTGAAGTTCTCATGTCCGACGCTACAGCGACTGTAGCCGAGGTCGATGAGGCATCAAATCAGCAAAAATCTTTGTGAAGGGCACCCCACGGGTCTCTTCTAGCCTCTCTCCTACTCTAAGCTTTATGTCAATAAACGTAGGTAGAGGGGGCTCAACGCAAAATATTGCGCTTGCCCGAGCATTTGAGCTGGGTATTGACGTGGTTCTTGTTCAAGAACCTCTGTGGAATAAACAAAAGAACACAACATAGGATCACCCAGGATATACCTTTCATCTGCCTAACGCCGGCGAAAATGTTAGGCCGAGGGCTGTGACCTATACCCGGATAGACGATAAAAAGATATCGGCAACACAGATCTTTCCTTATGTTGTGTCTACAGGAGACTATTGCTGGGTAGAAGTAAACGGCATTACTTTTCTCAACGTCTACAAGGCACCCAATGACTCGACAGCTATATAGCCTCTCATCAACTAGATTCCACCGCCAAACTCCGTCGCTGCTGGGGACTTTAACTCGGTATATTGGGCTTGGCAACCTGGCGTGGAACGTCCTCATAGACAAGGAGAAATGATCGAGAAATGGGCAGACAAACACCATTTGACCTGCCATATTATTGGGGAGCCCACTCACCGAGCTGGAAACACGCTAGATCTAGTTTGGAGTAATATCGACGGCGCCCCTGCTTGGGTAGATCGTGGTGGATGTGTCACCAGCGATCACTTCCCTATCCGAGGACAAATTCCAGTTTGCAACTCAGTGATGAGACCCGAAAAGGCAAAACTCCGAGTAACAAAGGATAAGCTACCCGGATATGCCAAGGTAATTGCACAGTGGGTTCGACCACCACCAGTTCTTGAAACAATCGAGAGTGTTGAAGAGTATGCCGAGGAAATTTGTTTCCATCTCACTAATGCAATCAATGCAGTAGGAACACGACTAAAAGCCCGCTGCGGCAGATCTGCTCCGTGGTGGACCCCAGAGTGCAAGGCAGCCTTCGCCGAATACAAAAGCGCGATAACTCCCAGTCAACGGACACTCTGCGCGAAAAAGCTCCGATCAGTTGTGAAGACTTCGAAAAAGGAGTTCAAAACCCAACAGGTCGAATCAATTACTACGCCGACTGATGTATTCAAGCTAATGAGAATGGATAACCCCAGACAAGCTAGTATCCCTCCGCCACTGAATCATAATGGGACGTTGATAACAGATCCATTAAAACGGGCCACGATCCTTCGCGACTCCCTCCTGGCACGATTTCAGGCATCAGACGACTTGTCACCATGTACAGTCGCGAGCAGCAGTCGGATACCATGGGAAGAGGACGTAACAGATGAAGAAGTCCCAGCCTGCACCATTGGTTGCGGAAATACGGCCCCAGGAGCAGACGGAGTCTCCGTAAACCTGCTGGAGGCGTGTTGGAATACAATCAGGCCTTGGATTTTGTCGGAAAATATGGTTATTTAGAGACAATCATATCACCCACTAAGTAGCAGTAGTGTTTGGATGCCTCTGATTGGTCTGAAGTGTAGGCCCTCATGTACGGGTATTGATCGCACTAGCGCCTTGGCATCTACATAGGGTAACTCACTAGATAGCTTAGATAGAGAATAGAGAAGAACAACTAACCCCTCTGAAATTCAGAACCTATTGTGCTAGCACATTCAATACCTGTGATATACCGACAGATTTTCCAACTGTTCCGAGCTTGCATTCTGCTTGGCACCCATACAAA